GGGTCTTGAACTCCTAACTTCAAGCGATCCTCCCACCTCGGCCTCCCAGAGTGCTAGGATTATAGGTGTGAGCCACCTGAGCCAAGCCCATAGTTTCAAATCTCAACTCTGCCTTTTATTTAAATGCGTGAACTCAAGCAAGTTACTCTCTCTCTGAGACTTAGTTTCCTCATATGAAAAATGAGAATAATATTTACTTTGTAGGATTTTTCTAGACATTAAATGTGATAATACATATAATGAGTTTAACACAATGTTTGGCATCTAGTAAGCGCTCAAAAATTGGCATTAAGTTGGTGTTAAACTTGAGTATTAAAATCGGGGAGTCAGGATACAGACATTGAAATAATGAGTAAGACCCCATTGGACACAGACATGAAATATAAAATGTTAAGTATAATATAAAAATAGAACAGCCCACAAATAATATCAGCCACCGTTTATTGAGCACTTTTTCTGTGCTTTAGATTCTCAGTTAGTCTTCATGCAATCCTGGGTGGTAGGTACTGCTGCTGCCTTAGAGATGGAAAAACTGCTCAGAGAGGTTAAGGGACTTGGCACAGGTCACACAGCCAGCAAGTGATAAATCCTGGGATCAAACCAAGTCCATCCACCCAAGAAGCCACACTGTTTCCACTGTACATGCTGCCCTTCCAGACAAGGTGAGGACTGTGCAGTGGGACAGGAGGCGCAGCTGGAGTGGATGTCACATGGTTTGGACTCTACAGGAAGGCTCGCGCTCTCTAGGAAGCCTCGTGTGTGTCATCCCACTGCACCGTCCTCCTCTTCTCTGAGTCTCCTTCACCTTTTGTTGTCAGGATGCATCTCTCTCTACTGCTAGTTATTTTGGGGGGACCTTTTCACATCTCACTACCAAATCCTTTGTTGTCAGCTTCCGGGGATTTCAGGGTTGTGACCTTCCTGGCACTTGTGTGGGTTCTGTAGCATTGGCTCCTGAGGCTGCCGCCAGCATGGGAAGGGCTCTGGCTGTTCTCTGGCGGCCTTGGCCTGCTGCGAGGAGCTGGAGCAGAAGATACCCAGGCCCGGGTGGGAGGCCGGGCTTTTCTTACTGGGGCCTCTGCTTTGCAGACAGATCTTGGAGCTGCCTTGGCAGGAGGAAACTTTCTTGGTGTTGCAGTCACTCCTGGAGCGTCAGGTGAGCAGCCTGCCTAGGGAGGAGTGGACGAAGGAGTGCCGCAGTGCCGTGGAGGAGCGCGGGGCTCCCGGGTCTCGGAGTCCTTCGGCGATGCGGGGTGCCCTGCCACAGTGGCTCGTCAGGAACGGAGAGCCGGCCGCGTGGTCAGCCTAGCTCCACCTCTTAATAGCTGTAGGGCCTTGGGGTGGGATTCTTCCGATGCATGTGTAAATTTAATTTTATTTTTGAATAGGTAATACATACATATATTCATAATTTTAAAAGCTGGAAAGGATACGGTGAAAAATATTCCCCTTACTTCTCTCCCCCAGCCATCCACAGTCCCCTCCCCAGGGCTATAACCAGTGTTACTAGTTTCAGGGGAGCCCTCCCAGAGGTGCCATACATAGATGGAAACATGTTTAAATGTTCTCCCCGCCTCCTTTTATGTGGGTTATAACCCACCAAGCTCAGTGTTCTCTTTACCTAGCTTTTTCTACTTAACGATATATTTTGGCAATTTTTTCATATCAGTACCTCAAATTCTGCCTCATTTGTTTATATCTTAGGTAATTAACTGAACCTTTTTATGCCTCGGTTTCCTCATCTACAAAAGGGGAGTTACAGCACTTACCACGTAAGACCGGGGTGAGGTCTACATGAGATAATTGGTGTAAAGCGCTCAGAATGGTGCCTGATGGATAGTGTTTATTAAATAACAATTATGAAGAGCTAAGTTAGTGTGCTGGCAGTGTTCCTCAGCACCTTTCACTCCTTTTATCTTCAACCACTGAGCACGACTAGGGATGCTTGGCTTCCCCTTAGTGCTAATCTGAGCCTTTGCAACAGTAGCCACCATTTTCTGAGACCTGTGTATCAGGTCTTATGTACCTTATTTAATCCTTTTCACAGTCTTCAGAGTTAGATATTATGAGCCATTTTACAGATATGGAAACTGAGGCTTAGCTTTGTTAAGCAACCTGCCCAGAGTCACCCAGCTAGAAAGTGGTGGAGTTGGGAATTGGATCCAGGGCTGGCTGAAGGAAGGGCCCAGGCCTTTCTTGTTATACTACTCCATCTCCCAATGTGTGCAGGTAGAGATGACCCCTGAGAAGTTCAGTGTCTTGATGGAGAAGCTCTGTAAAGAGGGGCTGGCAGCCACCACCTCCATGGCCTATGCCAAGCTGATGCTGACAGTGATGATCAAGTACCAGGCCAATGTGAGTGTTGATAGGGCCATGGGGGCTGGTCCTGCCACAAGGGTATAATGGACAGATACGTTTGCCAGGGGTAAAATCCTGAATATCAGCTAGAGAAAGCACGACTTGAGGGCCAGGACTAGGACTGCTTAGGAGTTTCTTTATCTAGCTAACACCTCTTTGGGCCAAATGCTGTGTGGGGCATTGGGAAATTGGCAGTGACCATAATGCGGTCCCTGCCTTTGAGTTGACCCTGTCCCCTAACCCTGTGACATGTAGCAACATGTCAGGAGAGAAAGCGTGGCCCAGAAGGAAGGTGGCAGCCACATGGAGTGTCTGAACATCAAGCTTCCTCATCTGTAAAAATGGGAGGGTTGTGAGGATTACATGAAGTAATATATATGTGTATATATGAAGTAAGGCATATAAATGCCACATCCTAAACATCCAGTAATTGTCAACTCTTATTAATGTGGCCAGCTTAGGAAGTTGTGCAGCTAGTGTTTGACTCCAGGTCCACCAGAATCCATGGTTGGTTAACCATGGTGAACTAATGAGTTTAGATTGCTCAGGAGTCTCCTCCTCCCCCATCCTCCTGTGTCCTGGCTTCCTGTCTCCGTCCTAAACAGAGCCCATGGGGTAGTGGGGAGGTGGGAGGGATCTGCTGCTAGAGTCCTGACAAGATTCTTTCTTCTCCCCAGATCACTGAGACCCAGAGGCTGGGCCTGGCTGTGGCCCTAGAGCCCAACACCACCTTCTTGAGGAAGTCCCTTCAGGCCGCCTTGAGACATTTGGGCCCCTGACCACACAGCAAGGGACCACCCTCCTGGAGCTCCATCAGCTTCCTGAAGGACATTTCTGCCTTGGCCACCTTTCCCTGAACCCTTGCCTGGGGATAAAGGCTGAGCCTGGCCATTCCAGGGACCAGCTGCCTTCCTGTTCCAGGCTGCAGAGAGGCTATCTTGGCTTCCCAGCTAGCAGGGAAGCTTCTGGCCTAAGGGAGCTGGATGAGCTATATTTTCAAGGGCCGCTGGCCCTGGGCTCACTCCTCATCAATTCTCAGGCTGCAGGGATGGAAATTTCCCGATAGGCCTCAGTAGGGTCGAGCAGACCCAGAGTAGACAGGATGCTCCAGGAGATCCGGTACCTGTGTGCCCGGCACAGGTCTCTTGTGCTCAGGTGTACGTTATGGTCCTCTGTGTTTTTTGTTTCTGACTTGTATAATAATTTATCAATTATATTTAATAAACAGCAGGAACCTCAGTAATGTCTTATTAGAGGCAATGCCTGCCTTCCCATCCTGACCCCTTCCACCCCCTGCTCAGTGACAAGGGGCCTCTTTTTCTTGGTGAAGGGAAGGTTGTAGAGTGTTAGTTCTGAAGTTCATTCATGCACCTTCTGTGGGCCAGACGATGTGTGATGCCAGCCACCCCGCCCTGTCAGAGCTGCCTGTTGAGTAAGTGAGGCAGGCAGCGACCACTGGGCAGGCAGGCAGGTGGGAATGGGGGGCTTAAATGTGGGAGCGACTCAGTCTGGAGTTGGGGAAGGGTTTTGGGCAGATGACATTTGAGGAGGGATCTGAAGGGCTCCTAGGGTTACAGTGGGCTGAGAAGAGGATGGGACCCACTGGGCAAAGGAGAGGGCAGAAAAGACCTTATAGATGTGCAGTGCTGTGGGCCTGTTTTATATCTTTGTATTTCGGGAGCGCCTAGGTAGGTGCCTTGTTCATAGGAAACACGTAATACACAGATGTTTTGAATGAACTGTCAAGTGAAAGTTCCCCGTAGTACCTTCCCAGCTCTTCCCCACTGCAGGCGTTGAGAGGCCAGGAACCGAACTTTCCTGACACTTCCTTACCATGTGAGTCCACAGAGCAAGATGCTGAGGGAGGGAGGTCAGGCCTAGCACTAAAGCCTGCTTTTGAGAACAGAAGCTGGTGTAGAGGGCAGGAGGAAGTGGGCAGAGGGATTTGAGGGACAAACGTGCCAGAGTCGCACGCTGTCAGCGGCCATCACGGTACTGTACGCAGTATGTGTGACCACTGAAGCTCCAGCCCTCGGCCCAGTCACTTCCCCAGGGGCCCAGCAGCAGCGGGCGCGAAGAGGATATTCCCAGGGTGCCGTGGGAGCTCAGGATCGCCGCGAGTCCGGCTGTCCTCGCGCAGGTTAGCAGAGCGACGCGCGGCAGCGCCCTCCAGCGGCCGCAGACGGCAGCGCTCCTCGGGACTGAGCGACCGGACCGTGCTCTGGAAGAAGGCCGTGAGAACAAGGCATTTCTCGCGAGAGCAGGACCGCTATTTGGGCGCATGCGCGAGCCCCATTACTCTCTTTTCCGGTTATTGCGGCGCGAGCAACCATGAGGTGAGTGGTGCCGAGCGTGCTATCCGCGTACATCCGCACCCCCAGGCACCCCGTCAGGGATGGGGATTTTTCATGACGAATCGGGGGTCCCTGCGCCGGCTTTGCCGCGGGGCATTTCTTGCGGTGGGTCGGCCTGCGGATCTCCATTCCCGCCAGGTCCGGTGCCCAGGAGAGTCCCTCTTTCTGCGGGGCTTGGGTCTGGTTCTGGGGCCCTGTCGCCTGACTTAGTGTCGGGAATGCCCGGTGGAGTCCGTCGGGGTCCGACCGTCTCGAAGCCTGGAGACTCGGAGGCTTCCGAGCAGGCCGAAGCGATGACCCCGCGGCACCCCGGCCCTGAGCGCGCCCTCGCTTCTCACCCGCAGCAGCAAAGTGTCTCGCGACACCCTGTACGAGGCGGTGCGGGAGGTCCTGCACGGGAACCAGCGCAAGCGCCGCAAGTGAGCGCGGCCTCCCCGGGGCCCGGGAGGGTGGGCAAGGCTGGCGGCTGGTTAACTCGCTCCCTTTCCCTAAGGTTTTTGGAGACGGTGGAGCTGCAGATCAGCCTGAAGAACTACGATCCGCAGAAGGACAAACGCTTCTCCGGCACCGTCAGGTTGGCACTGTTCGACCCCACCCAGCCCTCGGGGCGCTGGGGCCTGTCTCCTCCCGTTCGGCCCTTGCTGAGGCCGAGGCAGGCACGTGCGGTGCCGATGCGCCAGGGTAGTTCAGAGCCCTGCTCCGCGCAGGCGCGGCTGGACGGACCCCCACCCTGGGTCTTAAAACATGAGGGGAGGCGTGGGGAGGCCTTGGCCGAGCCCGCCGGCTAGTCCGAGAAGCCAGGCTAGCTGTTGGTGAATGCGGACGCTCTGGGTAAGGCTCGGTGGCTGCTGCAGCCCCAGACCCTTCACCTGCCCCTGGCACCCAGGGCTGGGCATGACCTTTGCTGTCCCCCAAAACGCAGGCTTAAGTCCACCCCGCGCCCCAAGTTCTCCGTGTGTGTCCTGGGGGACCAGCAGCACTGCGATGAGGCCAAGGCTGTGGACATCCCCCACATGGACATCGAGGCGCTGAAGAAACTCAACAAAAACAAGAAGCTGGTCAAGAAGCTGGGTTGGTGCGGTTTTGTGTCTGGGATGGGGGCGCGGGCAGTTTGCACGCGAGCGGCAGAGAAGTGGCTTTCTGCCATTTTGATTTTTAAATGGTCGGGGGGCAGAATCGCAAAGGAAAGGATCTGCTGTGGCTGGTTAGCAGTCTGAGTGGTAATTTTTAGCTTTGTGAAGGTTTGTTTCTAGATTTGCTTTGGGGATTTTGTTATGTGGGAGGGGGAGCCCAGGCATTTTTGGTCTAAACAGATGAGGTTCACTTAAGTTGACTGGCCAGGTGCTGTGGAGCTGCGAGCTGGAATTTCTCCTTCCTGACTTCTAGTTTAGTTGTTTCTTTCTGATGTCTATCCTGCATGGTCTAGGCAGGGATACTAGACCTGTTTTCCAGATAGGAAACAGATGTCTCCAGTTGTCACATGCCTAAGGTCTGCAGCTAGGCATTGAGAAAGCGGGATTTGAGGCCAGGCCAACTTGACCAGAGCATCCGTTGTACGATGGAGATAGCACAGGTTATGGGCCAGCCTGGTCTCTGAGACCAGGTTTCAGGACGAGTAAAAGTCTAGGGAGGATGGAGCTAATCACTGGAAACAGCATGGGTGTGGGGGAGGCTTAAAAAGACTGGGAGGCCACTTATGTGATTGGTTTATGTCCTTTTCTGGCCTGAATAGCACCTTGGAGGTGTGCCTCAGTGGCTAAGTCCTAAGCGTCCAATGGCTTTCTCTTTGCCAGCCAAGAAGTATGATGCCTTTTTGGCCTCAGAGTCTCTTATCAAGCAGATCCCGCGAATCCTCGGCCCAGGCCTAAATAAGGCTGGCAAGTTTCCCTCACTGCTGACACACAACGAAAACATGGTGGCCAAAGTTGATGAGGTGAAGTCCACAATCAAGTTCCAGATGAAGAAGGTAAGGCTGTGTGGTGGGTTGCCGTGGGTGGGTGTGCTGGCAGGGTCCAAATTTTACCCATTGGGGCCAGTCTGAACCCTGGTTTCGTGTTTCTCTGGGTACTTAATGGTTGGACAGGGGCACTGAGCAGCGTTGAAGCTTTCTGAATAACCCTGGTTTTCCTTGGCCTGGGTCCAAGCACCGGCTCATTAGGTCACGGGGAGGAGGGATGGGCCATCTGCCATCCTTCCACCAACCTCACTTGACCCTCTTCCCCTCCTCCCAGGTTCTGTGTCTGGCTGTGGCCGTTGGGCATATGAAGATGACAGACGATGAGCTGGTGTACAATATCCACCTGGCTGTTAACTTTTTAGTGTCATTGCTCAAGAAGAATTGGCAGAATGTCCGGGCTTTATACATCAAGAGCACCATGGGCAAGCCCCAGCGCCTGTATTAAGGCACATTCTAATAAATCCTAATGCTGCCATCCCTTGTCCACCTGTAATTGGGGTGGGGATGATTTGTGAGCTGACAATTAAGAGGCCCTGGCACTGCTGATAGCTATGTATGTACAGTTTATGTCCCCTTGGTGGTGGGTAGTTAGGTACTACAGACAGGAAAGCATTCTTTCTCTGCCGTCAAAGTCCTGCAGTTGGGTGGGGCATGGTGGCTAACACGTGTAATCCTAGCACTTTAGGAGGCCAAGGCAGGAGGATCCTTTCACACCAGCCTTATCAATATAGTGAAACCCAAGTCTCTCCAAAAATACAAAAATTTGCAGTGGTGCACCTCAACTTCTAGTCCCAGCTATTCAGGAGGCTGAGGCTCTCGAGTGAGGTTCCAGTGAAGTAACAGCTACTGCACTCTAACCCAGGCAA